GAAATATCAATGTTGGTAGGTACTACTTTCTAGTAGAAGCGGCAACATTGCATTGTCGAACATATCTTTAATGAAAAGAGCGTATACCAAACTATAAGAATGCACATTTTCATGGATTTCTCCCGACTGATTCTCGATTTAAAGATAGTGTAAGCTCGTCGTGACATACCCTGTATAGGGTGCGATGAATAAGTTAAATGAATACAGAGGAATATAAGGAAAATTGACAGAATTTCTCTGCACTCACCAGCGTGAAAAAAGTGAGGCTTTGATGAAACAACACGAAACACTAGACAAAAACACGATATATACGAATCAATGCGATCACTCAGTTTTTAGGGAACACTCAGTTTGGAACGATAAATAATTCCTTTTGCGTATTTTCGATGTCGATCAAAAAATTCAACCGTACGTGATAACATCTAATATACGACTGTCTTGATTAACCACCTGTCCCCGAATGAATGACTAATAAGTTGAATCATGCTGTTAACCGATTAATTTCCGAACAAAAAATTATTTATCTATGACTAATGTTGATAATGGAATTATACGGGGGGGGGGGGAGATATTTTGTATACAGGTGCTATTTTTTTTTTTCGAAAATCACTTACGATATGGAAGAATTTTACATAGGCTGAAAATATATTTTTCCCAAAAATCTCGTGATTATGGAAGAACTTAACATACAATATGTAGTGAAGAGATCGAACCCTTTCCATTACCAAAAAAAAAAAATTATCACAGTGACATACAGGCAAACAATTTTTGTTTTAAAAATATTGGTCACACGTAGTGGAAATAAATCAAAGGAGTAGCTACTCGCTCAAAATACCTATCAGATTTTTGACATCTGTTGTCTTTTAGGTTATATTGAGGTCATTGGCGTATCATACGTAATTTCCATATGGAATTCCTGATTCAACTATACCAAGATATAGTTGAACAATCCTCTAGTTTCAGAGTTTACTACTCCAGCATAACCTTTGCGAGGTAGGGAACATATAATTTGTACTAAAAGCTTAATATATTTCACCGAAAGAGACTGTTCTTAGCAGTCGTAGTTTAACTATGAGCTGAATGAGCTGAGCCTTATAATTGAGAAATGGTGAAAACCTCGATGTGGGTATCTGAACTACTTTACTCATGTCATGTGTGCTAAATATATTCTCGGACATCCAATTCGGAGAAAAATTTATGGAGTGACTAATTCTAGGACGAAAAGTAGGCTTATAAAAAGTAATATGTGAAATTGCAGGAAAATGAAGAATACAATATACTTTACCTCCATGTTATACATATGATTTTTCCGTCTCCCTCAAATAAAAAAACATTTCCAAATGATTTATTGATGAAAGTAACATAGAAGTAAGTATACAGTATAACTTATGGGCACGTTATTTCCACTCTTGCATCCTACATATTTTCAATTTGTGGTAGAGTAATAATTATATAAAAGTGCAGTTTTGAGCAGTGGTTATTTGAATACAACTAGAAGTGAGATCTAGAGCCAATCATATACGTATTAATAAACAATACGGATCATAACGGGTGCCAGGATGAAGCCAAAAATATGAAACAAATGAATATCCATAAGGATTTGGTGGCATGATACGCATGCGCCATGCGCTATTATAGTAGTCATCAAAGACATGCGTTTCGGTGGACAATGACGTTTACTAGCCTTTCAATCAAAGCAATATGTGTCTGATCGTTTCAAAACTTTTCCTTATGGATAGTCATTTTTCTTCAAAAATCGACTTCATGTTTCGCTATGGAAACAGATAGAGATTATCCGTATTGATTATTAATACGTATATGGAGCCAATGCAGTTTTCGTGATATTTTCATAAAAAACTTCAGTGGCCCACAATATGGTTCGAAATATTTTGCTATTTTGTATGAGAGATTGCTGCACATACCATGATAGTCTACAGCAACTAAAATGAATATAAATGTTCCATACCAGTGAGATTTTTGGGTAGATTCATACATATCCGCACGCTGTGCGGATAACGTATAACACCCATATTCGCACTGAGTGCGGAAAAGTATTACTTTGCGCACGCAAATGAGTGCGGAAAAGTACTACTTTGCGCACGCTCGTAGGAAAAAAAAATTTCCTCACTAGTGCATCTAAAAATTTGTAGGGTGATAAGCACAATGAAAAAGTATACGTGATATTTTATTATTTTTACCTCGCATATTTTGCTCAATTTACCGATTTTCCAGTTCGGTCTCTTCATGTTTTCTTCACATGTTTTGAGTTTATCTTCATCTGTTGGAAAGCTTACAAATTGAAATTTGCCATCTAACTGATTGGCACAGCCTAACATTTCGCCATTTTTTTCAAAAGAGAATAGGAAAATATCGTATTCAGTAAATAATATCCTTATTTAATCGTAAAATGTTTTCATTTTTTGAATTTTATAATCATTAACATTCAGAAGTCATTTGACACTGTCAATATTTTCTTTTTTCAACAATATACAAAGAGAGTATTGGGAATGAATAATAAATATCATTACTAGATTACTAGCTGACTTTGCAAACGTTGTTTTGCTATGCACAATATATCTAGAAAATATTCTTTCAGTTAGATATTTACCACCACTTTATTTATTTCATTTTCTACTCCTTTTCAGTTCGGCTATTCATAAAAGCGGCGTGTTTCTTTAGTTTTTCAAGATACTATTCATTTTATACTCGATTTCAGCTCGGCAATCTATCTCTTCAGTTTTTTAAACTACTATTTATGTTCTACTTCTTCTTAATTCGACTAAGTATCTACGAACGCGTGTTCAATTGATTTTTCAAACAACTATTTATTATAAAGCTCGTTCGCCATATTGGATCCGCCATCTTGAATATCCCAATTTTGACAAAAAATCATAAAGTTCGACCCCGAAAACCCCCAGATAAGAAACTTTAATAGAATCAGATCATAATATTGTTACGTTATTCGGGTGCAGAAGCGAACACGACACTATTTATTTTCGAACTGATTTATTTGAACTAAAGAAACACTAATTTATAAAGAACTTTTAACTACTATTTATGTAAAACGATTTATATCACGCGGTATATATCTGTCGCTCTGACACTCGCTGCTCGACTGACTGACGCAGTTGTTCGGCCGTCGTACCTATTATACCGGGTGGCTACGGAAGTATTGCCTACGGAATATCTCAGTTATTGTATGAAGTAGGTTTGTGAAATTTGGAGCGTCGATATAATGACATAAGAGCTAGAATTTGAGCATATTGACATGTCGCAGCTAACTTCCGGTCTGACCGGAAGTAACAACAACTTTCTTATTTTAAATGGATACCCTATTTTATTCTCTTTTCGCTCTATTCAGCATTCAATTCCCTTTCTAATGACATATCACAAGTTTGTATCTAACCAGAAACTAGATTAGAAAAAAATTATTATTGAAATTCACCGAGTAGGCCGTGGAAGCAAAATGAAAGCCAAAAATTGAAAAGTTGGCTATGGAAACCATACGTCACTGGATAACAGTTGCTACTACTGTGATATTTTATTTTCATTCGTCGGCGTTATAAAAAGCCGTCAAAAAAAATATTGGAAAAATTGGGAAAAAAACAATACTCTGTAGGTCCATAACTTGAACAGGGACATACAACTTTTTCTTGTCTGTACTATTCAGCATAACCATTCCTTTCTGATGATATAATAGAAAGTCATTCTTTGACTCTCATTTTGCTTCCACGGCCTACTCGGTGAATTTCAATAATAATTTTTTTCTGATCTAGTTTCTGGTTAGATACCAACTTGTGATATGTCATTAGAAAGGGAATTGAATGCTGAATAAAGCGAAAAGAAAAAAAAATGGGGTTTCCATTTAAAATAAGAAAGTTGATGTTACTTCCGGTCAGACCGGAAGTTAACTTCGACATGTCAATATGCTCAAATTCTAGCTCTTATGTCATTATATCGACGCTCCAAATTTCACAAACCTACTTCATACAATAACTGAGATATTCCGTAGGCAATACTTCCGTAGCCACCCGGTATAAGATCCATTGGTAGGCTTTGGTTCGAGAACGTTCTCGAATGATCTTCCGTCTATTTCTTTTTGTTCTAGAAGCTTTTTCGAACAATGCCTCTCTCTCTAATTGTTTCATCGATTGTTTCCAGAACATTCCAGAATCTTATTCTGACACGTTATTTGTCACCGCGGCATATATTGAGTGTTCGGAAATATGCTGGTGCATGTAGGAATCATTGAGAGGTTGGAGAACAATCTGGGATGCGTGTTACAGGATGATCGTTGTACTCCTGCCTTCCTGCTGATGTTTCTAGAGCCCCTCTAAGGGGAATATCATTAAAATGTATTAGAATTAACTTTTGGCCATATTCGATCCGTCATCCTGAATTTTACAATTTTCACGAAACAATCCTTATCTCCTACCCCGAAAACCCACAGATACCAATTTTGAATAGAATCGGATCATAATTACAAAACTCGATCCCCATATGATCTTCCTCAACAAATAAATACCCTGTACATACCTATTAGGTATTATTAAAATGATTTTCTGTAGCGCCCATGGACGTGACGTGACAGCAATGTCAGGGATGCCAGTAGACAAAACTAAAGTCTCTAGATCATTAAAAAAGAATGCAGCTATGATCTGTCCGTACCCTGTTAAGATGACTTTAACGTCAATTATTCATCTGATATCATGTGCATGTGTGAGTCCAAATTTAATTCAATTTGAGTAATCAGATCATGAAGCTTCCATGTAATTGATTCATTTTAGTAAAATAACATTTTTATTGAATAAAATGATCGCCCGCCACTGGTATTGTCTGTCGGGTAAGTTCGGAAATTTTAGCAGTCAGCTTAGGCAGCCAGATTCACACCGGTATAAGTCATAAATGTCGATCATTACTGTCGAATGTCGAATCGAATTGTCAAAAATCAAATATCAACAACAACAAAGATCAAAAAGTCATAAACATAAACAGTTGAATTGAGTTCATGCCTAAATTATTTGAGAAAAGTGTTTAGAGTTTTTTTCAAATATTAAGTTGTATACAGGTATACCTCAATCATTGCGTTCAGTATCTTTCACAGTATTTTTTCTAAGTTAACCTTTACCCATATTATCCTATTTGTGATATTGATAAGTCCATTTATTCTAATGTTGAAGAATATTGTTTTACTTTGTGTAACACTCGCAAATAGCCAAGGTATGTTCTTGATCACACTTTAATGCAATAAGCAAGCACTAGTTCAACATATAATAATTCCTATATCAAATTTTCAAGGTATTCCTTATCATGAGGAATATTACTGGAATGGCAAATGGTTTCCACACTCTCCAAATGAACCTGATTCAAATCCCTCAGCCCATAAAACCAATCACTTGATCACTCCAAGTCAGAGAGTAATTATGGGGGAAAGAGATATCAGCTGTGATGATGCAAAAGTATGTGAAAAAAATTCAATGTTTGCTTGGGTATGAGTGGTTTTCCTCAGGTTCACCCCTGATTTTACCTATTCACTTCTACTTACACTGCAGCTAATGAATTGATCTCTTGGTTAATTCAATACATAATTTTGTAAGTTATTATACTTCTCCCTCACATCTAATGTTTACCTATTCACAGCTGCTAATAGATGTTATTTCAATATCTTGATATCATAGGACAATTATGACTACAATTATATAATGTATGTAGCTTGTTACATTTTTAATTTGATGTAGTTTTTCCATCACCTCTAATGTTTATACCTAGGTTTATACCTATTCACAGCTGCTAATTGTCAGGTGAATTGATCTCTTTGTTTATTTCAATCTCATTTTCAATGTGCTACACACATAATGTATTGTAGAGTGTTTCTTTCTGAAGTTAATGTAGTGTCTTCATCAGCTATTCAAATAGCAAAGTCTTATTTGAATTGAAGAAGCAAGAAGCCATTGCACATTTATTTCAAGTCATTGTGTCTGTGTGAATCAACAGTATACCAGAACCCAGACTATAAGTAACTCAATTTAAAAAACTATTATATACTCTTTTATATCCCCCTTTGAGTGAATACAAATTAACTTTCAAATAGGTAATCTGAAGGGAATCATGAGTTGATTAGTAAACTATCTACCTATCCTACATTTATTGAAATATAAATTTTAGACTTATCTGGCTGTTGACTGGTTTATGGATCCAGCAAATTATACATGTTTTGAGAACAAGAAGGTATATTTACCACAAAGTCATATTCATCCCATTCATACCATTGAGCATATACCTACTGAATATAGTGTGAGTAGTCTGATTTTGTTCTGAATTAAAGATATCACAAATGTCTCTGATTTTTAGGCACCCCATAGATGTATGAATGAATCTATTGAATACAATGAATTAGTTCCTACTTTGTGAGTATTGCATGCCTTTTTGTCCACTAATACATCCTTACTATTCATTCTTTATGTACTGGGTGAGTCAAAAATGTGTACTGAGCAGGAGGTGAATGTGCATTGAAAAATTAGTATAGTTTGATAAATAATCAAGGGAGATATATCCAAAATTATAATATAATACATTTTTCTCATACACTTCTGCATTTCTGATATTGTTATAAAGGGTGTTTCCAGAGGGTGGGTCATGATTTTTTGAAGACAACATTTTTCCTTGTATTCTTTTTGGTGAAAAAATAGAAGCATTTTATTCTTATAAAATACAGAAGTTGTAGATGTTTTAGAAATACTTATGTGATATTCTGTAGTGACATGGTATCAGCAGATAAATTCATCAGTAACAATATTTCAGTAGACTTTGAACTTCTTGGCCGGACACCATCTCTATTTTCTGTTTTAAAACATTCTTTTTCATGAAATCTCTGCACAATTCTCAAAATTCTTCTAAAATTTGGAACATGTCCAGCAGGAACCCTGCAATATCTTATAATATCAGTTGAAAATCACTATAATAATCTAAGCAAAGAAAACTAAACAAGGAGATTAACAATAACAATCTTCATGTCAACATTATTGATCATGGCCTCCTGAAATATTGATACTGATGAATTAATTTGCTGATATCATGTAAATAAAAAACTCAACCATCTTGAGAACGGCTACAATTTTTGTATTCTGATAAGTGTACCGTTTTAATGTAATTCTTCTCGCTCTATCAAATGCGCTCCAAATTTTTCACCAAAAAGAATACAAGGAAACATGTCTTCAAAAACTCATGACCTACCATCTGAACACACCCTTTATAACAATATCAGAAAACGAGTCAGAAAAGTAGGAGTGTATCAGAAAAATGTATTTTATCATACATTTATTCAGGAAATATATTTAAATTTCATTGACTTTGGAAGAATATACCTTCCTTAATATAAATTTTAGGCCATAAAGTTATTGATCAAACTTATTTTTCAATTTACTATCACCTCCAGAAAGCTTGGTACACATTTTTGACTCACCCTGTACATATACCTACTACACTGACGAAATTATTTTGTTATGATTATGATTTTTCCACCACCTAACATCAAATCATAATTGTTTCTTTTGTTCCTGAATTTTGCATATCATTTTCCACTGAATCAAATTTTGAGGGTTACAGTAACTTGAATCTCCCCTTATTATGCACCATTGACAAAATCAGAAGTAAAAAAGTTTATAACATCAATCAATGTATGTACAGTGTGTCCAGTTTTCGATGCTTTTGTGTGATATCTCAGTTATCTTTCGAGATAGAACCTTGCGGGTTTCGCGGTCGTGTGCCACTTTTTTGTGAAACTCAAGATGGCCTAATCAGATTTTGCATAACTGTTTCCGTTTATGAGATACAGGGCGATTTTGAAAATTTATACTTTTTGGACCCCCTTTATATCTACGAAGTTTCTCAGCAAAAATGTCAAATCTGAATCTCATCCCATATGAAAGTTTACGCAGAATCCAGTGACGCACTCAACATTTTTTTTCGGGGTATGGTTTTGGAGATACGACTCAAACTTATGGTTTTTCAAATGGAACACCCTGTATTTTATAAGCTCATGAAATTCCTCATTTTTTTCTCTTCAAAATGATTTATAATGTATGTATATAAAATTTTCAAAAATGCTCTGAAATCACTGAAACATTGAATTTCAATAGTGGGCTATGTATTTTTCTTATAAAAAAGTTCCAATTGAAGGAATATTCATTCTGATTTTTCCATAAAGAGGACAAAAACAATACCAACAATAATTAACTGAGAAAACACAAAAATTATGTACCTGATAGCAACAAATAAATAGTAATAAAAAGTTCATAATGTAGAATAAGCACCAGATTAAATATTTTGCAAATACAATTGAATTTCGGAATTATTCAATAACTTATTCACTGAATTGTTCAAATTGATATCCATTTCCCATAACACACAATTGACACATTTTCTCAATACATCTTGATACAGTAAGAGTCACAAATATCTTGAAGAACTTTGTGCAACAACAGAGGCAGTTTTCCAGGAATCACAAAGACATCCTTTGATGATTTTGAATGCATTGAGACGTATTGAGAAAGCGTGTGAGGGAAAGTGGACATCAATTTGAACAATTCAATGAATAAGTTACTGATTGATTTCGAAATTCAATTGTCTTAGTGAATATTAAATCAGGTGCTTATTCTAGAATATGAAATTTTAATTCCTTATCATTTGTTGCTATCATGTACCTAATTTTTGTGTTATCTTAATTAACTAGTGTTGGGAATGTTTTTGTCCTTTTCATGGAAGAATAAATATTCAACAATTGGAACTTTTTTGAAATGAAAAATCCATTGCCCACGATTAAAATTCAATGTTTTAGTGATTTTGGAGCATTTTTGAAAATTTTATACATATTCATTATATTTTATTTTGATGGGGAAAAAATAAGGAATTTAATGAGCTTATAAAATACAGGGTGTTCCATTTGAAAAATCATAATCGAGTCGTATCTCCGAAACCATACCCAGTAAAAAAAAATTTGAGTGCGCCACTGAATTCTGCGCAAAATTCTGTATGAGATAAGATTCCAATTTGACATTTTCGCTGAAAAACTTCGTAGATATAGAGGGGGTCCAAAAAGTATAAATTTTCAAAATCGCCCTGTATCTCATAAACGCACACAGTTATGCAAAATCTGATTAGGCCATCTTGAGTTTCACAGAAAAGTGGTACAGGACCGCGAAAACCGCAAGGTTCTATCTCGAAAGATAACTGAGATATCACACAAAAGCATCGAAAACTGGACACACTGTACAGGCACATATGTATTATCGGAGGTATAATCAACAGTTGTTGGTTCCATTGTGAAAATGTTTTTGTTCCTCTGCCTAAATAGATTGATACTTTATTCCTTTATTCCCACTGGTAATTTCTTTTCACGAAGATAATATGATTCAACACTATTTCTATGTAATATTGGTACTCTTGTTTAAACACGATATTTTCATCCGTTTTTGAGAAAAACACAATTGAACAGTTCAGGGGTCTCTGAAAGGGATGTCAGATATTCAATTTATGAAGTGTGCTTTGGACTGTCATTATAATTGTTGCTGGTAAATGACATTACCTGTCAGAGAATAAATTTTGGTGCCAGTTTAGAGGCAATACTTTTTGAATTGAAACGCCCTGTATTTTTTTCACAGCCATATTTTATTGAGGCATATTTTTTGTTACTATCGTAATATTTCGGTCCAAACAATCCGCCCTTAGCCTATGTCCCAATAGTAATGACTCACCCTGTATACATATGATGTATGGAAACAACATTTCATACATCTGTACATGCACGGTTGAGGCCAGCAGCTGACAGCAGCGCTGGACGTCGGACAATTGAACAAATTAGTTCAGTTGCCTTCTAGATGTTGTCTTAATCACCTCACGTACCCGTCCCCAGAAAATATACCGGGTGACCAGTTATCGTTGTGCCGTTTGGACTAGTCTATTTTGATATTTTTCAAGTTTATCTTTGACGGGTTCACCTTATCACTTCAACTTCCGGTTCTACCGGAAACAAACAAGCCATTATTCAGGTATAGGGCAACTTTCTATATTTCATTGAATCACCCTGTGTATTGTCGCACAATCAGAAAAACTAATCTTTCTCCTGAAGCATCTACTGCATTGAGTATACATCTGAATATCTGATGCAGATTTATGAAAGTTTATTTGAAATTTTGTTCAACACTAACAAAATAACAAAGTGAACATGAATAATTATAGCAACTGTTCAAAATTTCCTCCATTGTTCTGAACACATATATTCGTTCTTTTCATGAAGTTATCAAAACTGCGACTCAACATATCGACGGGAATACTTTCTATTACATTACGAATATCTTCGAGTCGATCGAGATTTTGAGGCACTGGATTATAGCAACGATTTTTGACGTAACGTTATAAGAAAAAATCAAGTAATAATAATAATAATAAATTGACTTTATTTGACAAATGTACATGCATTTGCCCTGAAAAGGCGAAGATTAGCTAAATAGCTACTCTTGAACTCTTAACCTTTTCAGTTTACAGAATAAACAAAAAACTAAAATGAAAGTATTATACAATGTTATTAATATGGTATATGTATAGATAAAAGAGAATAGATAAAATGCATCGATCTAAAAAATGTATGTTATATATGCATAGATAGAAAAAAAAGGAAGTTAATCTAAGAAAGTAACAATGTGATTAGTCTTGTTGATTCAGCAGTTCATTTTTAACGAATTTTCTGAATTTATTCAATGGTGTTGTTAATTCTGGTTTGAAAATATTGAAAAGTTTTACAGCATTATAGGTGAAACTGCGTTCAAACAGAGCAGTTGAATGGTTTGGCATGTTGAGTACCTGTGAATGTCTGGTGTTAAGATTATGTAAATTATTTCTAAAGACCAGTTTATGAGAAAGGTATGGCGGACTTTGAGTATTTAATAGTTTGTGCAGAAAAATAAGGAAATGGTATTTAAATACATTAGAAACTCTAAGCCATTTCAACTGCAGGAAGTATTGAGAAATGTGATCATATTTCCTCAGATTGAATATGAATCCACAACAAGTATTTTTCACGCGTTGTAGTTTATATTGGGTACATTTATCAAGACATGGATAGTAGACAATGTTACAATAATTCAAAAGAGATAAAACTAAAGATTCTGAAAGTTTTTTCCTTGTTTGGTAATTTAAAATATTGAAAAGGAATATTCTCAGATAAATTATGAACATACAAAAATGGATATATATTTATATAAAGCAATACATTGAGAATTCGCATTCTCTATGTGATGAGAATATTTACTCTTTTTCAGTTAATTCAATAGAAAACAACTACTTTCCTGGCTATATGCCACGACGAACATTGAATTATATCTATTGAACACACACGATAAGAGTTTGAAAATAAAATATAAAAATTTCTGAAATTGAGAATTTGCATTCTCCTTCAGACAAAAATATGTATATACACACATCATTCTGAATATTCAACAGAAAACAACTACTTTCCTGGCTATTTGCCACGTCGAACATTGAATTATATCTGATGAACATTCAAAAGGGGAACATGAAAAATAAAGAATAAAATCCTCCGAAATTGAGAATTGACATTTTTCTCCAAATCGGATGAATAATATGATGAATAATGATCTAGAAATATGACTTACCAATATATTCAGCATGGTTTGTAGCAGACGACCCGAGCGCCACGTAGAGCACACACGCGGCGAACGACGGAGGAACGAAGGTAATAAATTATAGCGTGTACATTCAGATTTTTTCCCGAGATATCAAAGGTATGATTTATATACATCGATGGAAAGGTGTGAATTCCCCCGTTACACTAGTTAAGGTGTTGAAATGTTAGAAATAAAGAGCACGGGAAAAAAAACCACCGAAAAAAAGTGCGTTTTTCCTTGACCCCGCTTTTTCTAATTTTATTGAAAAATGGACGACTTCGTCTAAAAAAGTAATTGCACAATCGAAAAGTAGACCTTCTTAGCTTTCAAATGATGTATCATAGAAACTAATCGGATCATGTATAAATTTTTAATTGATGGTTGTTCACAAAATTTCCCCGCGCTCCAAAAACAGCAAAAAATTGGGATTCAACAAACAAAGATTAAATGAAAATTAAAAAAAATTAGGGTATACAAATCTCAGGGACGACAAAGGACCTTATGAGGACCCATAATCAAGAAAATTTTGAGTAAATTAGTGCAATACAAAAAAAATAGGAACAAATTCCTGGCGAGGTCAAAATTGACCGGGAGCAGAAAGTTTGACCCATGTTCCGATATGGCCAAAAGAGTCAAGCGTGACTCAATTCACAGAGTATGATAGCAGCAGAATTCCTCTTTCACATGAACTTTGAATCATGAGAAAATATGCATTTTTAACAAAGTTATTGAATAATTTGTCCCCCCGCCGATGTGTAAATACACGGACTGTGCTCTCCGGCATACAACACAGAAGCTCATTATTCGAGGTGCGCTTCGTGCCGTTTTTCTCGAAACCGGGCAAATTTTAGAGAAAAATGATGAGGACCATTTTTGTAGAAAATTAACTGAACTTCAATTTTTATCTGAAATGAAAATCTCTAACTGCCATATTTTAGGAGATATTGGCTGAAAACCTATTTTTCTGGTCTTTTGGGGCCATTTTCTCCGCCATCGCACGCGTTTTCCAGTCAAACATTGTCTCATGTTTAATGAGGTACCAAAAGCTACTTCCAACCGGAAGATGAAAATAGTGCGTGTTAACTTTTTCCCTTTATTTATTGGACCAACTTGCTTCATCAGACATTATCAAAGTATCCAGGAAGTGTCTAGTTCTCCTCAATGCACAGATTCTCTTTTAGAACTTCAACCTCATTTCAAAATCAGCTGGTTTGATTTCCTGCAGTATCTGAATTTTATATGCCTTCAATATTAATTCTTCGGACATAATATTGTGAACTTTGAATTGCGGAATACCTGTGATGGCAGAAATTTTTCGTGTAGATGTATGCAACCCAGGATTACTATTGCATTGTTGAACCGATTCTCACTTTTGATCCACTGTCCAAAAAGTTAGCATGCCATGTTTTTATTGAATCTTTCGGTGGAGGATATTTATTGAATATAGGTTGTTCTGAATCTTCTTCTTGTTATTTGTAAGATTTTGTTTCGGCAAAAATTGCTACACACTTGCCGACTATGATTTTATAACATTGCATAATCTCATTAAACCATTCCACATGCAGTAGTTGTTTCAGAGAGTTATAACTCTGATAGTTTTCTAAGAAAACATAACTTGTAATACATTGTTAGAAAGAGAAAAGACCAGTCTTTCGTAATGTGCGAAAATATACAGGGTGATTTAATGAAATGAAAAAGTTGCCTAATACCTGAATAATGGCTTGTTCGTTTCCGGTAGAACCAGAAGTTTAAGTGAAAAGTTAAACCAGTAAAGAGAAAATTGAAAAATGTCGAAATAGACTAGTCCAAACCGCACAACGATAAATTGAATAATTTCGGAGATACAAGCAGTTGAAATGGGTCAGAATATTACTGGTCACCCTGTATAACAATGATTTTTACAACTCTGTCCAGAAATGACTTTCCGAGTTTCATTTATATTTTGTGATTTTCAGTGGTACCCATCGACCCTTATGGGCCGTATATGGCGAATATACTTTCGTACCGAAACAAAGATGGATCCATAACTTGGAGCACGGGGCCGTAGTTATGTTATACCATCCTTGCGCCAACAAAAACCAGGTCCGACTTCTCAGGAATATAGTTAGGTCGTGTCTTTACAAACACGTGATTACTCCCTACAACTATTTAACCCCTGAAAGGGTGAGTTGATAATTATTTCTTAAATTATGACATATTATGTGTGGGACAATGGGGCCGTGGTAATACCTCAAGGATGGTCGGGGAACTTACCAATATTCCGTGTACTTACTGCAGATCTTCTAAGATCCGGCAGTTCAGTTTTTCATTCCTCTCACCTGTCATTTTCCAAAACGGCTATATAGGTAATCTCAACCGTTTCTGTATGAACAATCTAAGAATCTCTTGAAAATAACTTTTTTTCTGCAACCGACACAAAAGTCGCCCATTTTAATAGCAAAATTAGCTCTTGAATTGACGTTTCTACTACTGACACAAGTATTGGTATGTTGCTAGGCAACACATTTAGTTCCTAGTAACTAAAAATGATGTACTAGAGGTCATCAAGAATAAACAAGTATACGCATACCTGATTTCCGAGCTGATTCGTTTCCGATTTCGGCAGATTTGGCATTTCATACCCATCATGCTGGAGATATAAATACTCCTCATTATAGTTGATTATTTTTGTTTTGATCAGGAAAGCCTTCAAGATTCACATACTTGCTTGATCTGTATTTCATTCGTTATTCTCGGGATGGATAACTTGTTTTTGAATAATCACGACCAACAATAGTTTTTTGTCTCAAACAACGATATTGTTTACCTCCATTTGATTATCAAGCCAAACACAGTGGTGTATGGAGATAAATGAATAATCAATATTATTATTATTGATATGCTCACTAACCTAACATTTTCCACGTCCTATTCCTAGGACTGGCGCGGTATATGCCATTAGAGCACCTGCTCCATACACAAGTATGTCACTCTGTGGTTGTATTTATATTGAAACTGCAATTCGAACATCCTCGAAAATCGAATAAACCTGCTGTTAATGCAGGTAGAATATTCTCACCACACGGATTATTATCATTTGTTGCATGGCATACATATGGCACGGCATTGATGGTTACTTCGCATATTGATTTGAGTTAATTATTTCGGTTGCAGAAAAAATAACATATTTCATTCGGATCAAAAGTGACTTTGTTTGACTCGCAAATTTTGCTTTGAAATGAAAAATTCACTTGTCAAACAAAGTGTCACTCTTGATCCTAATAAAACAATCGACTTTTATTCGTGGTTCCGAACAAAATATTATTCTCTGCCGCTGTTGGCGGCAGATTCTTAATGGTTTTGCCGACTCGTTTGCAAAGACTATAACACATTACGTACAGCGTTTCTTCACTCACTAAACTGAATTTATAATGCCTCGACATGTTTTTCATCGTTACCACCGATACATGAAACTGATTTCTCTATGCGACGTTTCGTATTGGTAGAACCATCGTCATCCAAATATTGCCCTGAATATGTATTTACAGATTCTGAAAGCTTTTTCCATTCTGAATATAACCATATGGCTGGAATGTGTTCCCGCACTCGTTATGTTAAACACTATTTTCAGCCTCTAGCGTTGGTCACGTGGGGACATCGACTGGAAATGTCGAAAGTTTCGTCCGAGGTGGTCAACAATTTCATCCAAAAACATGCTCTCAACGGCCCAGAAAAGACACCGAAGGACGGACAGTACTCGCTTATGCTGGAACGAAGAAGTAAAATCGTTTCGGACCTCGACGATACCAAGTTGTGCCCCAATCACGTTAATACTATCAATATGAAGTAAGGTTATGAGATAACAAGGCTACAACTTGATGTTTAGCCTATTTGGGGTAATTTGGAAAATATTTTCGAGGGAACTTATTTTTCGAACAGGGTGTTCCATATGTACGTGACATGATTTCAGATCAGAAGGTGGTGTATTGGTGTATTGTTCTTTGAACGGCTGGGATTTTATTTATAGTATAATATAATCTATAACAATCGTTATAAACGTCATTTTAGTAACGAGTATTTTGAGCACGAGAGCAGCAGAGCGGGGCGAGTGTTCAATAAACGAGTGGCTAGAAGAGTTTCCTCCGTAACTTCTTTATTTATGAAAATATTCAAATAGGAATTTCACATTCTCATGGCAGTTTTTCAAAGTGATTTCGAAAAAAATATGAAATTTATACCAACTCTTCTAGAATTTGAGATATCAGCACCAACTTTAGTTTTCCAAATGTAGGTCATAGCTCACTATGACTTAGTTACAAATAACTTTTTTTTCTCTTTCAGATGATGTGTCGCAGTAATAGTTTTGTGTTGATAACAACGGAGTTATCGTCATTTATACAAAAACAAAAAATCATTTGGAAGCCGCCATCTTGAATTTATGAATTTTAACAAAAAAATCATGATCTCCGACCTCAAAAACCCCCACTTACCCATTTTGAATGGGATCGGACCAAATCTTGTCCGCCATCTTGGAGCAGCCATTTTTTTTTTAATTTCAACAAAAATTCCATAATGTATTGTCACTGAAATTATGAACACCTGCCAAATTCCAAGTTAATCGGAGTGATGGAATTTTTGTTGAAATTGAAAAAAAATGGCTGCTCCAAGATGGCGGACAAGATTTGGTCCGATTTCATTCAAAATTGGTAAGTGGGGGTTTTTGAGGTCGGAGATCATGATTTTTTTGTTAAAATTCATAAATTCAAGATGGCGGCTTCCAAATAATTTTTTGTTTTTGTATAAATGACGATAACTCCGTTGTTACCAACACAAAACTATTACTGCGACACATCATCTGAAAGAGAAAAAAAAGTTATTTGTAACTAAGTCATAGTGAGCTATGACCTACATTTGGAAAACTAAAGTTGGTGCTGATATCTCAAATTCTAGAAGAGTTGGTATAAATTTCATATTTTTTTCGAAATCACTTTGAAAAACTGCCATGAGAATGTGAAATTCCTATTTGAATATTTTCATAAATAAAGAAGTCACGGAGGAGACATGAAAATGATCAAAATCTGTTTTTTGCGTATAAAACAAAAACGAATAGATTTTATCAAAATATTTTTTCACATTAAAGTTGGCCTTGACAAACTCCACATTTGGTGTCATTTAACCGACCTCGTATCTCTCACCGTTAAAAAGATACCCATGGTGATCATGGTAAGTGGGACACACTGTATAATAATAATAATATTAATTATAACATTCATTGATCCCAAGAAACATACAATGTTTATAGATGGAAACAAAACAAATAAAATAAAATCAAATATGCAATACAATGAATGATAAACAGTTCAATCAGAATTAATTGATACAAGGAGAGAGTTAAATTGATGAAATATATTTCTTCAGTTCAAACTTAAATTGTGTGACGAATCTAATAGATTTTATTCTATTGGGTAGACTATTATAAATATTTATTCCACAAGAATACAATGCTTTTTTCCCGAATTGGGTTTTCATTTTGACAGTTTTCAAATGTTCACTTTGTCTGGTGTGATGCTCATGTGTATCAGAATTGATATTGAAAGTAAGATTCGAGTGCTTTTTCTTATTTTTAGTGAAATGAATGAAAATGCATACTTTCATTTTGAATAGAGAGTCAATATCTAGTAGATCTCTTGGTTTGTATAGTCAATTGTTCATATCGAGAATTAGTCTGACGAAACAATCGAAGAGTGTGCACACCAGAGGAATTATAAACATCTCAGGTTTGAAGACGCAGTATCGAAACTTCTTTCTCTGTCACACTCATTGAGCTTATGGAAACTTCGAACGCGAATATCTTCGTAATCATTTGAAAGTGCCCAATCGACCCCGGTATCATTTTATTCGTTATAATAATCCCTAACCGATTATGGAATGAAATAGAGTGTGTTCCATTTGGGTATTGAAAGTTGAAATCATTTCCAGGAAAACCTGAAGATGAAAAAAAACTAAAAATGTGAGAAAGTGCCCTCTAGTGAGCATATTCGATGTTCCAAATTTCAGAAATATAGGTGGAAAAACAAAGGAGTAATGACGGGTATACCATGAGTCTGTGTAATCCGGTATCACACACATTATTCCAGGAAAACCGGAAGATGAACAAACATACAGAATTGTGAGGAAGTGCCCTCTAGTGAGCATATTCGATGTTCCAAATTTCAGGAATATAGGTTGAAAAACATAGGAGTAATGGGGGGTATACCATGAGTCTGTATAATCCGGTATTACACACGTTTCATGAGACATATTAATCATATTATTATTATGAAAGCCTATTATAGCACAGTATACAAAATGAGGATGTTTTTAAGAACTAAGATTGAAAATTCAATGAATTTCAGAGGCACAACGAATCCAGTCTTGATTTGAATGCAGATATGTCGCACCACAAACGCGGGCGACAAAATAGTGTTATAGAACTTGTATAATAATTTTTTTACTAGCGTATTACAATACTCGAAATGAATATCTTCCACCGATTTATTAATATTGTTCATTTCAATACGGATTTTCATGATGCAACCGATTTTGGCCAACGGCCAACTTTCCTACAGACAGTATTTTCCATTATGAAATAAATCTGTGGCCTATAGAATCAATTACTTGGGTATTATCAAGTGGTCTATGTTTCTACATACTTGTCAGAGTTATTTGACAATTAATTCAAATTGACAATCAATTAAAACGCGTCAGAAGTACCGGCAATCCATGGACTGGAGATGTTGGAATATGTTGAAATATAAATAGTACCTTAGAAATTAATTTTTGTTCTTATTTTCTCATTTAATGGTCGTTGAAAGAATGGGGTATGCGACTATCATACACTGAGGACCAAAAGTCCGTCGCCCCCACGTAACTTCTTTTTTTTACACATTACAAAAAACATTTAAAAGCTTTCAAAAAGTTAGGATAGGAGAGTCAAATGCATTGTGTTCATTTTTTTACGGTTTTCCCACTGAAATGGTGCAAACATAGTCGAAATAATAATTTACAAGTGTTCCCAATTCCAAAATTATTATTTTTTAGGATGTAATAACATCCATGAAACTAGTTCGAAATTCAACATAGAATATGAACATGCAATGATATAAAGGGTATTTGAAAAAATGAACTTCTAAGTCGATGCACTTTCTTGAGACACTCTGTATACATGAGTCTCAAACTATTGAAGATAAAAAATGAAACCCTACAACTTATATAATTATCAAACATGTTTCTGTAATTTGTGAAATAAAGAAGTTACAGGTGGCTTGACAGACTTTTGGTCCTCACTGTATAATGGCTATTAATACATGATCGCTGCATTAAATACTGTTTAAAGTGAAACTGCAGTATTTGACTTTTGTGTTGATATCATATACACCACCCGTTGACATTGACATTATGGCATGTCCTCGTATATCTGGAATATGCTGTGTAAAATGTATTTATTTTCTTTCAAAAGTATCGTCGCATCGAAATGATCAAAACATTGAAGACATTATGTTAGAATGGAATTGAATTCGAACCTATTATTTGTTCAATAATTGTTTCATGTACCGTGGTCTGAAACTGTCTCCTGATATTTACGTATTCTGTGACTGATAGTACATCTCAGAACAATTTATCTGAGTTTTGTTGATTCTCTCTCTCTCCGTTTTTATAAATAAAAATAGTATCATTCAATAACTATACGTGTAGATGAGTGAAATTTCATATTTTTCGAGGTGTAACTGACTATTGCTTGAATTTCCCTTCCAGGTTGTTAATAGTGACATTTCAAGGCATATCATCTGATTTGTCCTTACGACAAGTATATTGAGATAATACTAATGAATTTATTTCTAGAAACAAGGACAGAAAGTTCCCAAAAATTCAGATACAATGGTATTTCACCTCCACGATTAATATTTCAAGTAGTAGTATTTGAAATTATTATTTATTCTCTATAACCTCATTTTCGAAAGTTGAGAGATGATAAATATCAGTTTTTCTGTCATATTATGTTCTAACCTTATCTTGAAATATTCAGTTCCAAACTGAGATACAGGATAGTTGAACAACCTTTTACATATACTATAAGTCAAATCCTTTTGTCCACTTGAGTGGTATTTCAATGGGGAAGCTGTCAGTATTTTTTCCATAACTCATGTATTTTTCGATAATTTTTGTTTAAAACTGTAGCTTTTCCTATATCATTGAAAAAATTAAAAAATTATTCTTATTGCATATCGATAAACAGCCTCAGTTAATTCATCTAAGAATCAAGTAATATTTAAATTTATTGTTACTTTGTAAATCTGATATTGATGATTTCCGACTTCATCCTCGGAAATGAGCTATTTTCATGATGAAACCGTAGCAGTGACATTTTACTCCCATTTGTGAAGTATTAGTTACTCTAATAACGAGGCAACAACAACAAGTATTATTTAAATGTACAGTCGGCTACAATAATATCGGGAAACAACTTTATTCCACCGTGTACAGTATACATTATAACCTAAAAAATATCAAACAATTTTATTATTAACACTTTATACACGAAGACAATGATTAAACAGGAGATTTCAGATTTAAATGGTCAAATTTCAGCAACGGCTTACTACTTTTCGTTTTTGGAAGTATGTAGGAGCCGTTGGTAGAAGATGACAAGTTACTTCTGAAATATCCTGTATACATTTGTGTTGAATATTTGAATATTTCACGAAAAGACTGTAGGAGGGATGACACTTTTCTCATGAGCACTTTTACACGTACATACACGCACAATGAAAGTACCAATATTTTCTTAAAGAATTTCATTGTGCAAACAAAAGTTATATTATAATAGATGAAATGCTTCGCTGATAGATAGATGTAAGTAGGAATTGGACAATGTAATTTAGGTAATTCTTGAAGAGAGCGAAATTCAATTTAAAGGAAGCCCAATTTCTGGATATAGTTTAAACTAATTTCGCGATTATTGCACTTGACGTGAGATAATGAGGGCTAACATTATTTTTCGTCTACCAAAACATGAGGTCAGGGTTGGTAGAACTGATGAATTTACTTCTCATTTTTGTGTCATTTGGCCTTCTGCTATGATATCTTCTTCTCCATCAATGTGAGAATTGGTCATAAAGTTCCACATTGTGAGTAAAAAACGTGAGGCGGCTCACGTTTTTCGATAACTTGAGGTTTTACTTACTTTTCTATTTGTTCAAATATTCTACATCATTTTTCTCGAATATTGTCGATAGAACAGGCCATAGCTTTTAGGCAGAATGAACAGAAGATGGTGTACAAACTCCTATCAAACCCCATCTACTCTGTCTTTCGGTCAAAGTTCTTGACCTACGGCCTACTACGCAGAAGGATTCTTTTCAATATCGTGGAATATAGGTCGCATTTCACCCGCTAGATGGCGAAATCTCAACCAAATTTCAAGGTTGGTAGAACTGATTATAATTTGTATTAGGAAGGTTGCCTCGATCGATAGTGCGGCAAGGGGGGAAGCGGTCACTCGTGACGTCACAGGCAGTAAGACAACAAGTTGTCTACAGTCTACAGTAAGTTGTCAACCTTAAAGCGACATGTCATGAAATGTTTAACAAATAGAGTATACAAACATGATACAAACTTTTTGGTCTGCGCAGCATATTTATATTAATTCATAGTATATAATTATAAGTAAGTACCATTATGAAATATGGATATTTACATATACTTCTGTATAATACCTTCAATCTTCGAAATGAGAAGGCAATTTTGGATGGATCAGTAGTACAGAGAGGAATACCTATCTGAAATTTTGTTCCAGGGGCTATTATTTACCAGGTCGTGGTACCAGGTATGTGTGCTATTTGAGGTATGGAGCATAATTATGGAGCTAGTGATTACTTATGCATTGATTATGAACCTACTCATCCTATAAATATCCTGCAAATCAGATAATGTGAACAAGAAACTACAGAAAATATAAGAATAATCAACTGATGATCCAGAAGTAGTAGCAGTGGACCAATATTCGTACACAACAGATCACTTATTTTATCAATATAACTCTGTATTCTGAAAAATTGACAAACTTTCCTAGATACCTATAGAAAAT